TCCGTAAGAAAGTCCGAAGGCGTTTCCATTGCCCGATCTCAAGCTATGAACCGCCAAGAAGTTGAAGCGTACTTTGAACTGCTCCGCACCACCCTCGAAGAGCATAACTTGTTTGATAAACCAGGCCACATTTATAACATGGATGAATCTGGTCTGCAGCTGAACAGCAGGCCCGGACATGTCCTGGCAGCAAAGGGTTCGAAAGCAGTTTCAACTGTTACTTCGACTGAGAGAGGAGAGACGATTACCGTCATAGGCTGCTGTAACGCTGAAGGGACAGTTTTACCACCAGCATGCATAATGAAAGGTAAAAACAAGAAACCAGAGTTTACTGACAATATGGCTCCTGGTTCTATCCTGTATATGTCTCAGAAGTCGGCCTATATCAACAGTACCATTTTCCTGGAGTGGTTAAGGGACCACTTCCTTCCTCGAAAACCAGCTGGGAAAGTGCTGCTAATTTTGGATGGCCACGGCTCACACTCCACATCAATCGAAATGCTGAATTTTTGTGACTCCAATGACATAATTCTATTATGTCTGCCGAGTCACACAACACATTATCTCCAGCCACTTGATAGAGCGGTGTTTAAATCCCTTAAAGGCAACTTTTACAACGCCTGCCGACTGTGGCTAAAAAATCATCCGGGTCGTCGCATCACGAGACAACAGTTTGGACAACTTCTGCAAGAAAGTTGGGGCAAATCAGCATCTAATGAAAATGCGGTTTCCGGTTTTAGAGCATGTGGGATTTTCCCATTTAACCCACAAGCGATTCCAGATTTTGCGTTTGCTATTGCAGACAACGGCGAACTGCCGGTTCCCGTTGATGATGCAGTACCCGAGAAGACTAAACAACCTAATTCAAAAAATTTGCGTGACCCGTTACCTGACAAACCCGAAAGAACAGAACTTAGGGAAGAAAAAGATGAGCCGCAACCTAGTACATCCAAAGAAATTCGTCACGTTCCAGAAGAGTCTCCAATGACAAAACTTCTCCACGGAATCTCTCCAGTACCGGTACTGGTACAGTCTGCCAAAAAGCGCGCAAAACAAGTTGCATCTCTTCTAACATCGCCAGAAAATCGTAAGGAATGTTTGCAGAAATCATTAAAGAAGAAACCAACCAAAGAGAAAATGATGGTGAAAACACCGAAGTCTCAAAAGAGAAAAACAATGCGTGACTCATCCAGTAGCGATGAAGCGGAGGTGGTGTTCGCTGAAAGTTCTGATAGTGCCGGTGAAGAGTTTAATGAAAACGAATGTGTAGGATGTGGTGAGTGTTATTTCTCCACGACTAAAACGGTCGACTGGATCCAATGCATTCGCTGTAACTTTTGGCTACACGAAACCTGCACCACTTTTGGCGACCACTGTCAAAATTGTGGTAAGATGAAATTGAAGGAAAAAAAATAGAGGGCAAAACTATTCCTTACCTACTGGTTTTTACTGTTTATTTTTTGAATTAATTAATGATGATTTCATGTTTCATTTTAGCACCAATAAATACTTACCTTACGTTGTCGTTTGTACCCTGGCCATATTTCCCCTAGTAGTATGGCCATCTTACCCGATAGGTTGGGGAGAGATGGCCAATTGCATTGTTTTCGTTTTTGATTTTTATTTTAATCATTTTTTTTAAATAAAGTCTTTTTACCTCAGGATGTAGATTGCCGATACTTTAGGAAGTATATCCATGCAAGAGCGGTTCTTTATTGCAGTTTCTAGTGAAATTTTCATGCACGATATAAAACTATGGCCATCTCCCCCCCACTTACCCTACACACTTTGTTTCTTCTACAACATAAAAAAACAGTTAGGTGCGTACTCTTGGACGGGTTTACCCTATTGTTAGCAATTTCTTCGATTAAAAAGGACTGGTTCGAAGTTTAATTCTTGAAATTAAAACGCGAACTCAGCTTAACCCATTAAGTCCCAACTTTTAAATTTTTTGAAAACTACCGATTTTTCTAGTTAAACATGTTTATTATATGATAAACAGAACACAAAAAGTTGAAAAACAAAAATTGGAACAGCATTTTCGAAAATATGATGCGTCCTATATAGGACGCTGGGATTTACTGTTATAAATATGTCCTTATGTAGGTAATATGTTCGAAACATAAATTCCCTAAATATTGAGACTAAATATAAAAAATACTGTCATATTCGATAGTTATGCCACTATACTCTTTTTTATCGTGAGATGCAAAAAAAGTCATTTTGAATGATACGGAACAAAACATTGTTTGCAAAGAGTCACCTGGCACTTTACACAAAATGTCAATGGCTTTGATTTACAATTGTCCCCTTGACATCTTCTTTGCTTGTCTCTTGTTCCCATAAAATGACTTTTACTGTCATAACGAACATCGTCAAAAATCTTTGATGCGGATGACATAATCGGACGACCTAAGGCTGGTTTTACTCCAAGTTTCAAGTAGGTTACTGCAATAGCTCTTCTAAATGTGAGTAGCGGCATGCTCGACTTGTTTATCATTTTGTAAATGATCCAAGAATTTACAACCGCCATGTCGATCATACGAGTAAATAGCGCCCAGTACCACTTCTTAGCTCTAATTTGAACAGCATACTTGCCCACATTCCAGTCATGCTGATCTACTCCACTCATGTGAATATTATATTGCTTCAAAACCCTTGGTTGCGGAATTTGCTTCTTTTCTTTGTTTTTTCTGTCCCATCGTGCTGCTTGATGCAATGGTTCAATTGTTTCATGATTTGTGGCGATAGTGACACATTTGTTGTCATTCCATTTCAAGAAAAGGATTTCCCCACTAGAATCAAATCTGTAGTCAAAAACACCACGAGACTCTTTTCCAAGACTCTTCGAATCCTTTATGGGGCACTTAGCTAACCTGTTTTCCCTCAAAGTTCCAGTTGCACGAAAACCTTTTTGTTGTAAATATAACAACAAGTCTCTGCTGGTGAAAAGGTTATCGAAATAGACACAATGACTTGATGCATCTTCTACGCAGTCAAGAAGATTCACAACGACTCTCGAACCTAAAGCTAAATCACCATTTCTTGCGACATTTGTTGAGGTTTCAGCACCACAGTATAAGTCAAACTGGAAGCAGTATCCATTAGAAGAACACAAAGCCCACAGTTTATATCCAAATCGTATTGGCTTTCCGCGTATAAATTGCTTCAATCCATGTTTACCGAAATATTTCACGATCATCTCATCGATAGATAACTCTTTGACAAAAATACCCCATTGCTGAAATTTTTCATTCATCTGGATGATAAGTGGCCTAACTTTAAAACCCTTATCAGATTTGTTAACGTTAGCTTGATCGTTATCGTTGAAATGTATATAACTTTTTATTTTTAGGTATTTGTTTCGCGACATACAATTCTTTACAATATTTACACCAAGGTCCTCTTGTTCACTCCAATAATGTCTTTCTGATGGCAGCTTGTGATACCCTGAGAACAACAATACTCCTAAAAATGCCTTTATGTCTTCTGATGACAATGTGAATTTAGTATCATTTTTTACTGCTGATGCATATCGAACAGTTTCTTTCGTTATGTAGTCTATAACATCATCAGTGAACATCGTTTCAAACAGTTCACACGGAGTTTTTTCAATTAGTTTAGTTTTCATGTTCTCAAATCGTACAGTAGCCCCTTTACCTTCGGTTGGAAGTTTTGTGTAGGATGGATGCACTTTACGCCATGTAGGAGAAACATCGGTAAGTATCCGTTTTCGTTTGTTCGATTTAGTGGACGTGCATTTAGGGTGACTGGCCGGTATTTCTGTATTATTACTATCGTTTACCTCAACTCGTTCTGATTGTGATGTCGTGTACTGAAGCTCAAGCTCACCTGGAACATCATTCACTTCAGCAATTCCCAGAATATCATCATCAGCTTCATCTTCGTCTGTGAGATAATCAGTTTCCGGTGGTAAAACAACGATGTCAGCAGATTCAACATCTTCCATAAAATTAGGATCATTTATTATATCTTCAATTTCCGCCAGTGTTAGAGCCCTCGTATTATAATAGTCCATATTGTTGCTGTTTACACCACGCAAGTATCATATAAAACACACAATAAACAACACCACTACAATTTTGATGTGTATGCAGTAAGGAAAGCAACGTAAATGGTAAGTTGACAATGAATCCAACAATACATTATATGCGCATGGTAACTAATGTGGGATTCGCTGGACGATACTTCTAAATACCAGCGTCCTAAAAATAGGACGGTCAAATTTTGAGGGTTATAAAGAAGTTATGTAATCAAAATAAGGGGTAAAATGGTAATAGTTACAATCACTATATATCAATGAATGTATCTATGTAGCTGAATGATAGAAATATTGCAATAGGAAACCAAAAACAAATATTATGTAAAGTAATGTATTCCAAAAGAAAATTGTGAATTTTCAAGAAATTATAAATCTCTAACTTGACCCTCTTCAAACTTCAAAAAATTAGAGAACACTTCTAGAACCCTGTTGAAATCGAAATTATCGACAGAAGTAGAAAATGGGGTCAATATTTTTCTTAAAAAAATTGTTTGTGTGTTGTCCTATAAATAGGACGCTGGATTATAATGGGTTAACACCATATATTAACAATTATTGATTAAGACGTGTTACAGATTGAACTTAATTCTAGTTTGACATAATGTGTACGATTAGTTCACGACGAAATAAAAAACGTAACTAACTACTTGCAACTTAGGCTGAGTTCAGACACGACGTTTTCCGCGCGGATGGGACCGCTCGGTTCCATCCGCGCGGAAATTCAATGTTGTTCACACACGCGCGGTTGAATACGCGGAAACAGACCAAGAGATCCCTCAGAAAGTTCAGTTTAAGCATGGATGTCGAAGAAGCAATATGCTTTTGGTTACTCTACAAAAGAATGAAAGAACGGAAAAGAAGAAAAAGAAAGTATTGGGTGCATCCAATATTGCGAGATAGGCTCACACATGGTCAATTTATAACATTATATCCCAAGTTAAGACAATATGAACCGAAGTTCTTCAACTATTTTAGACTGCGATGAGTCAGAAGTGGTTTGTGATAGTGGTGAGGGTTGTGCAGATTCAGTCACAGTAGAAGATCCCAGTGGAAAGCTGTAATGTTGATTATTCCAAAAATTTGTGTACGTGTTAGAGGGTGAATGCTGCGATTGCGATATGAGACGAATAGTATTGCCTGGTAATGTTTGTGCTTTTTGAAGTACCTGCAGTAATTCTATCTTAGTTGCCAGACGCTTTTGCTCAGGTACATTTTTTAGTTCTTTGTACAATGACAAACAAAAGAGTTTGTCTTCATCTTGGCTGACAGTTTCATGTTGAAATTTGTCTCGTGTTTGGATACTTCTTTCCAATAAATCGGTTAACCGTTCCTCGGAAGAATTCAAAGTTTTCTTCTTTTTCGAAACAGGACGAATATCCCTAGGTTCTACAAAATCTTCTTCTTCACCCTCATTTCTTTGCTCTTCATTTCTTGGTTCCTCAACGTTACTGGTGGTTTCCTTATTCTCAGCACACACTTGAAGAAATGAGAGCCGGGAAAAATAAATGTACGTTGTACCTTTCTGTGACCCCGAACCGGAGGGAATCGATGTATTTTTCTTGTACTCTTTCATGTATGCGTCGCGGATGTTTTTCCACTTTTTTTGCAATGTGGCTCCTGAAAAAAAAGGAATTAGATGATTAATTTACTGTTGCGCCCTCTAGCGCTAGACTGACAAACTTAATTTCTAACAATTTCTCATGGCCACTTTAACAAAATTTGTTTTTTTCTTGAAACCATGCGACTGACACTTTCTGAGATGCAGCAGAGAGCCATTCTTAGTGGGACGCCCTGTACAATATGTATTTGTTTTTTTTTTCAGGTATTTGGGGACGGGGTGTTCATTTGGAGAACTGCACTATAACTTTCGGCTTGGAAAATCTACAGTCACAGGGATAGTGCGTCAAGTATGTGAGGCATTATGGTCAATATTGTCAAATACTGTAATGCCGGAACCGACTGAAGAGATATGGAGAAGAATTGAAACTGAATTCAAGGAGAATGCAAATTTTCCCAACTGCATTGGCGCCATTGATGGGAAGCATATTCGAATCATAAAACCCCACCACTCAGGATCTCTTTATCATAACTACAAAAAAAATTTTTCTACGGTACTTTTAGCAATTTGTGACTCCAACTACTGCTTTGTTGCTGTTGACATAGGGGCTTATGGCAAAAGTAGCGACTCTGCTGTTTTCAAAAATTCAATTTTTTATAAAAGATTATTAGCAAAGTCATTAAATATACCAGCCTCAAAGCCCATATCTAACACCGACCATGTATCATTGCCACATGTCATAGTTGGGGATGAAGCCTTTGCTTTAATGGAGAACATAATGCGACCATATGGAGGCAGTTCTTTATCCTATGAAAAAAGGATTTTTAACTATCGATTATCAAGGGCTCGACGATACATCGAGTGCACTTTTGGAATATTCGCTAATAAGTGGCGCATCTTTCATCGACCGATTGATGTAAATATAGATTTTGCCGAGAATATTATAAAAGCATGTTGCGTGCTGCATAACTATGTGAGAATCAGGGACGGTTACAAGTATGAAGATACTCTCTATACCGCACCACTAACAACTTTGAATGGACTGCCCGCAGGTAGAGGAACCCCTTCATCTTTAAATATGCGAGATAAATTTGCAAGGTATTTTGTAAATGAAGGTCGTGTCGAATGGCAAGATAAAATGATATAATTTTTTTCAAGTTGCTTTAATTTGATTATTATCTATAGAACTCTGTAATACGTACCTAATTAGTTTGAAATACAAAACCACTTACCAAGTACAATTATTTTTTTTTCTAATGTGTCTTCCCCATGTGCAAATATTTCCACCAATTCCTGCCAGGCTCCATTTTTCTTAATTCTATTGGAGTAATCGGCACTTTTCATATCCCAAATTGCAGGCATTTTCTCCACTTCATCAATGAATAGTTCGGTATCGAAGCGCTCCATCATCATCAAAACGTTTGTTCCACACGGATTCCGCAGTCGAACTGAACACCCTCATTTGTTGTAATACAAACAGATCCGTGCGAATTCCGAGCGGTAACATGTATTTGGCGGTTGACCGACGGCTACCGAGCGGACTTGGATCCGCGCGGTTACGTATGAACAGATATATTGACTCCAAATAGACCCGAGCGGATGAAACAGCGCGGTTTCAATCCGCGCGGAAAACGTCGTGTCTGAACTAGCACTTAGAGAGAAATGTAATAGCGGTTTTCTTAATTCTAATAATTTCTAGAAATATGCGAAATGGAATAAACTTGAACAATTAATATTGTAACCATTGTAACTTAACCATTATTGTTAATCGGATGGTCCTTGAGTCTGTAAATTGTTTTGTAATCTCTTTAGTTGCCACTGTAGGATTGCGATTTCTTGTTGAGTGATTTGGAGAAAATTCGTTTAGGTACATTTTTTTGAATATTACCGAAATCAAAATCATTGAATTCTCTAACCAAGTTGTGTAAAATACACTGGCTTTTATAATGTCGTTAGCTTCTTTGTATGTGTTTCGATCTCTTTCGTTAATATTCTCCACTTAGCACAAACAATACCGAAAGCACACTCTACACATCTTCTAACCCTTTACAACCTGTAATTCAATGCCGTTTTTCCAGGAGTTAAATTATTTCGAGGGTAGTAGGGAAAGAATGGAGGGGCACGGCATCCACCTTGACCCTGTTCATGACCTCACCTAAATGAAGGGGGACGCAATTGCACTGTCTTTGGCCTCGTGTCTGACTGATTTATGACCTTTTAAAATGAACGGGGATGATTTGAAATACATACTTTTACTGTGTTATGTGCAGTAACTAGTGGAATGTTGTTAAGGTATCTACAAAAAAAACTTGCCTACGTTCGGTTTTGTAATATTCACCGGGTATAGACCTACAACGAATTAAAAACTTGCACTTCACACTACAAGAGAAACTGAGCGTACATCTGATTACCTCGAATGCGCTTACGCAGAACTACTATTCGTTTCCACAGAACAACTAAATTGGATGAATTATTTTCACCAAGCAGAGTTGCATTGCTTTTCACTTAAAATTAATTTTTTTTATTCAACGTTTTGGTCAATGTGTTCCTGTTTGATATTTGATCTAGTTGGTGGTGTTGGTTGATAAAATAAATATGAAAGTACTCCTTCAGAGGCTAGAAAACGCCTCCTCCTTTACTGTTCACCTAGTAGTCAGACAAAATATTTTATGTATTAGGATCTGAGATGCTTCATCGCCGAAAAGGACCTCTTAATTTTAGACAGAGATGATATTATGTATAACATTTTATGACGGATACTCCTTCATTATATTCACGTGATACAGAAGCTCCGCAACATTTTGTTACGGTAAATTTTGGATTAAATGAACTATTTGATAATGTGTCATTATTAAGAATGCATTAAAAAAAGGCCACGTACACACTACAGTAACAGTGACCAATTTGTTTTCCCTATTGATGTTGGGCCTATTGTTTGCAGAAAGCCTTATATCTCTGTAAAGAAGTATTTGTCTGTTCAATAGTACTAGCGTAGGGATTAATAGTACAATTTTATGATCCGCTACAGTCAAACACCTATGATTATTGTTAACGAAAACGGACTAAGTTTGTAGTTTTCCGTGACTATAGTTGAAAATTGAGCTTTATAAACTTTAAAAATATGATTATTTTTTAGATCTTTCACGAGCAGCGCAGTGTAAATCTGCAATACGGAATTGTCAAGTCATTGCTTTTTATTTAATGTCACGAAATCCTTTAGCTGCAGTCCATTTTTAAATGTACAACCAGTGTTATGTACGATAGAATGGACTGTACGTACGTAATAAATTGTAACGTAATTTATTGTAATGATATTAAATCTGTTTTGGCGCAAAACGACAATGAAATCAAGGAAAGAGGATAAAAAGATTTCTTTCGTTTTCGTCAACAATTAACTTCGTAATTTGAACTTGATAATTTGATGCTTTTAAATCTTCAATCTTTGATGGTTAATATCCGTCTCGTAGGACCAACCTACAGGTACAACAAACAACAGGGGGTTGAGATTAGATCCTTGTGGAACTCCTGAACATGCTTTATAAAAATGTACGGTAGTACCTGGTTTTGGCGTTTCTAGCCTACATTTGTTCATCTGCTTGCAATCCGACTCATGCCTGCTCAATTTCGTTTGAGAATTAAAGTAGTGGAGACACCTATCACAAATGTATAATTTTCTGTTGTTCCTCGTTAACTGCGAATGCACTAACTTAAACAAATTTTTGATCTAACAAAAGTGGAATTTCACAGCTTTATCTCTATGATCATCAACGTTGTCATTATTATTATTATTATCCTCAATTTCATAATCATCTTAGATCGTTAATAAATTTACATGCTGTTCTTTTTTATTTGATGATAAGTTTGACAAATGTAAGTGCCTTGCCACAATAACATGCAAATAAATTATTATTATTATTAAAAAAGGGGACGGTGATGTAATTAGAGATTTTCGGATAAGCCCATAAACGTTAAGGGATAAATGAGCATTTTGTTTTTCAAATTTAGGAAGTTGGCTTAGAGTCATAGGAAAATTAATGTCTTGAAAATTTAGGATTTTAGCATAATAAGGATATGAGGAAACACGATCGGAATGTTGGGACACAGAGAAAAGAGCTGAAGATAAGGCCCATCCGAAACAAGCCTCATCGTTATTTTTAACGTTGATGACCGCATGTTTCACTTTAACTTCATTAGGTAAATCGATGTACGATGAAGCTTTTACTAAAGTTGTACCATTAGCGTTCACAGTTAATGAAATAATTCGCGATAAAGCCCACCCACTCTGCTGTTCGTCGAAGTCAAGCAAACGATAGTCTACGTTTGATTCAAATACTTTTTTCAAATTTTCCTCCTCCAAATTACAATTTAAAATAGTAAAATTTCGCGTATTAAAACTAAATTCTCGAGCATTTAAATCTAAATTATCGCTATTTGAGGATGGTTTGACAAATTCTGCACAAAATTCACAATTTACTTTTAAATGTTGATTGTACTTGCTAAAAATATGTCTAATCTTATTTGAAAAGACCTTACTACTATCACTAAAAAATGTTCCTATTGTTTTATGACCCGAATTAATAATAATGCCGGTGCTCACCCTTGATTTAAAGGCTGTTACTAAATCCCTCCATTTCACTAATGGTCTTGCTTCGAGGGATGTGCCGGATATAGATGCATCCAATTGATTGATCATCAGCTTATAACGCTCCATCTTCGCGGCGGCTGCTGCAAGATGTTTCTTATCCGCTACCGATATCGTAGCTTCTAATGAAACTTTAATCGACTTTAGGTTGGCGTTGATCACGTCTATCATTTTTGGAATCTGACATGCTATACCATGATGGTAATTTTTATAAAAATGTTGGATCAAATTGACCGATGCGTCTATATTTTCGATAATTGAAGACGAAGACATTTTTTTAAACGATTGGTAAATTAGGTAGCTTTAGCTAATGAAATACCTAGATACTAGTTATGAACTGGATATTAGACGTATACCCAATTGTTTTTATATGAAGGTGCTCCCCTCCTCTGTACCTATCATATATATTTAAAAAAACAATTATGATAGCAAGCATATCGCATTTATTAATATTATTTTGAAAAAAACCAGTTCACACTATACCCATCTTAAATTTGTTTAATTGATTGACTACTTCATCATCCATTTCTCGCATCCTTTGCGGTAAAAATATTGATGTATTACCGACAACTTCACATACAATTCCTCGTCCAAAATGCGTGATAATCGATTTTATTTTTTCAATTTCGTATATTTTTACGCCCTCAATGTCTTGCAATTTAAGGACACTCCTTTCAACAATATTTCCGATCGCGTTAATTCGTTTAGATCCATTATTTATTTATTGGAATAGTTACACCAACTATATAAGTTTGAAAGAGTTTCTTCTTCTACTCAAACAATTTAGATACTAACTATATTAATATGAAAACGCTTCGTATACATTAACGCGACATCCTGCGGAAATCTTTATATAGGAAACAGTGAAACTATACAAACGGGGAACATTAACAGAAAAAAACAATACGCGGCAACCTACAGAAATCTTAATCAGCAGAAAACAGTGAACTTATATAGGCAACGACAATATTAATCAACAGGAACAAAACGTTAGAACAAAAAAGTTAAAAAGAAATCGGGTTGTTAAGCTAATTATAGGAAACAATGCCAGCATGAAATCAGACGATGTAGCGAGTGGCGGGGAAAGCCTTGTGACCATAGTGAATCCTCATATAAATATGTTGATGCTTCTTCTCAATTTCAATATTATTTAGTGCACCCATTTCAACACGTAAGTGTTAAATTGGTTTGCAATACAAGTATAAGAAAACCGATATCTTTTTAGAAGATACCTTTCTCCACCAGTCAATTGTCTTTAATTGTACGCTTAAATACACTTGTAAACAAACAATAACATTTTGAATATTATTTATTACACCCATTTCAACTACAACTATCAAGGTAAGTTTGGTATCGAAACAAATCAATTTTTGTAGGATCTACATTTACATGTCTATAAAATCTAGAAGGAAAACTTCCCAATTCTAGTTGAGGATAAATACGTAGACTTTGTTTATCCAGTTCAATTCGATGAACTAATCGATTGATTCTAAATTTATAATCTACTTCATTTTCAAGCTCATTCATTTCAATCGATCGAAATTCTTCCCGCTCATCCTCACCACTAGACGAAGGCGTTGAAGAAGTATATGATAACGATGGAGATGCCGGTGTATAAGGTGTTATCCAAGGATACGTATATTCCAACACTTGCGCAGCCTCCTCATACTGTTTACGAGTGAACGTTCGATTCAGAACAGAGGTGTTATTAATACCTACGATCAAAGTAGAAGGATATGATTTTTTAAAGTTTTGAGTTAATGTTGTCTTGTAGATTCCCCTGTTAGATAACGCTTCAAAAATTTCATGTACAGATCATTTTTAGTGTTCTTGATTGCCATAACTTTTTTAAAAACTTGAAAACACTTTCAGGTAAGTGGATGTACCCGAATACATTTTGATGTTGAAATGACCGGTATTTAAATTTGTTTAATGTTACAATTGCGCTAATTGTCTTCAAAGTTCTAGGCTGGTGATAATACACCAATTTGGAAACGCCTTCTGTAGTATTCACAAACTGGAATTGCACTAGACCAGCAGGCAGCGAAATTTCTTCTTCTTGAGAAATGCAGAAAGTTTGACGATGACCATCAATAACTGGTAAACTGGCAAACACAATATCAACAAAAGCTCAATCGATATCTTCCATTCTGATTTTTAAAACGGTCCAACTCTGATGAATGCAGTGTTAATCGACGTGCTGGTCACCGAAAAAGGGCTCCATATAGAGCGCACGTCCCGTTTTTCTTGAAAATGTAAATTATGTGCGCAGGGGCACAGCACATTGTATCCCTATTAATTTAAAAGAAATAATATTTATCAATAAACCTACCCCCAGCACAAAATCACACACTTGTTTGTACACCCATTGACACTTATTCATATCAGATTCTTGTTGTTGCTGTTGGGCCATAATCGCACGCTTTTTAAATACTGTGGCGTAATATTAAAAACATTTATATTTATACAGAATTTGCGCATCCGTAAAGATAGACACATTTTCCTTTTAGTCAATAATTATCTAGAAGCATCCTCTCATAATTATAAAAAGTGAGATAAATCTCATGCGGTTATTTTTATCTTTCTTCTTATCTAAAATTCTCGCAGTAAGTTCAAAGAGATTGCGAACTAGTGTTTTTACATCTAATCTGCTATGAATAGACAATAGGATGTTACATCCTCTATAAAACGTTAGATTGTAAGTATTGTAGCATCCTCTTGCAAATATAAAAAACCTCTTTTTTTTGCGGAATCGCTGAGGTTCTCTAATAGAATAAACTTTTCAATGCAAGGATTAAACTCTGACCTGGTAAATTTATGCTTCAACACGCCATGGGGTGTACCTAAAATGTCGGAATTATTGCGTAATTGACATTGCCAACTGAGTAAAACATGGTAAAACTCACCAAGTTTATATAAACCGTCTTCTACACTATTAACAACAGCCAGTACATTACGGGGAGAACCACGAGCTCTATCTACGTCTGGTATGGGTACACGAACCGTAGTTCCTGCTTGAACGTCGGAGAATTTTCGATTAGACAGTTTCAGCATTTTGGTGGCTTGTTTTTCTAAACATTCCCTGGATCTTTTACGCTCATTAACAATGTTCTCTTGGCGTTCGCAATGAATGCACTTCCCATCATTACTAGCTTCTTCGCCAAGTGGTAAGACTGTAGAGCACTGGTTGCAAACTATTCTATCCTCGTACGCTACAATGTGGGTGGGGGGTATAGCTAGATATTTACAATAAGTTGAAACTGTATTGAATGAATTAACTTACTGCTTTCAGTCGCGCTTCCAGTATCATTAGTTCCATTTTCATATTCGAATTGGATGATTTGTGGAACTATCCCTTCTTCATCTCCTCTTTCCCTTTGCGGATTAGGATCCTCGAGGTCATTAGACTCTCGTCCCATTTCTTCTATCAAAGTTTCAACATCTTCTTCAGTGGACAAATGATTAATTTCATCATGGAGAATGCCAGCTGAGGCTAATCCTACTCTAGCCGGACATCCGAACATGGCCTCGTACGGAGATCTCCCAATACCTGAAGAAAATGTATTATAATGGGTGATTAAATTTTTCTGAACTTTGTTGTGTTGCATAAAACCCATTTACCAGAATGAAGTGCACGGTTTTTCTTGAACTGGATAAATTTCATTCCTGAAGGCCAGTCTGTTGTTTGATTTTCATCCATCCACGCGCCTAACATTTCCTCAATATCCCTATTGGCACGCTCAACCGATCCTTGACTCTGGCTGTGTCTAGGTTTGCCATGAACAATTTTTACCTCTGGCCACATCGCATGTAAATCTACCAGAACTGAATTGACAAACTCTCGACCATTGTCTGAATGAAGAATTAAAGGTGCTCCAAAGGTAGTGTATATTTCTAATAAATTAAACGCGACTTCTTCTGCCCTTTTGGTTCTTAACGGTTTCAGCAAAACAAACTTTGTAAGATGGTCTTGATAGACCATAATAAAACGGTAATCGTTGTAACTTTGCGATTGCATGTCAATCAAATCAACCTGAGCACGTGAATTTAAATTGGAATGCAGGATAGGTCGAGAAACTAACCCTTTCTTTGGAGTACTACTTTTTTTCTGACACTGAGTACAGAGTCGTAGGTATACCATTATCGTTTCTTTGGTAATGTTGCAGTAGAGTTTGTTTATCTCAGCAATCATTCGATTTCTTCCACCATGTTCTATAGCTAAGTGAGCATTATGAATAATATCAAACAATTCTCCATTAGTGACGTAGTACAGGACCTTCGATTCAGCTGTTTGAGCAACAGGTTTAATTAGACGGTCTTTTCCACCTATTGTAATGACGTCATATTTACGCACCAGCCTATAGTGCTTCATGCCTTTTTCTGAGCCGGGTGTTGACAGTAAAGCTTTTGCCTCTTTAACTTCAGCAATACGTTTGTTATATTCGTCAACGGTTAAAAAAGATTTATTGTCATCGCGTTTGATTTCTATGATAGCGTTTATATTTTTAGTAAACCTGCGGCGCATTTCATTGTGATCCATGACGAATTCGATTTAAAAAATTAAACTAAACTACACTGATAGAGTAACCCCACAATAAACACAACAGAAACATATAACCTAACTTTTTGATTTATCATCACTGGCCGTTAACCAACGGGAAATGACGACATTGCCCGGCCAATGATGTTAATAGCGCGCTTGTGTAATGAATTAACAACATTGGCCGAATCTAATGGTCATTAACGTTATCGCCCGGTAATTATGGAGAATGTCCAACTTGGCTGGCCCTTATCGTCATTGACCGGCCAATATCGTCATTGGCCGGATTTGTCCATAACATATATATTCATAAATTTCATAAATGTAAGTCGTAATGTACTTTAAAATCCGATTTTCATACAAAAGAAACAAATATAAAATAAAATGATCGATTATTCAGAATCGGATTCACTTTCTTCTTCCTGTTCGTCAGTGCTACTTTCCGATTGATCTTCAATATCAGAGTGTTCTTCATGTTCCTGGTGATCATCATCATCATCAGATTCTCTGAAAGTATCTGAAAAAAAAAATACAATTTCATAAGTTTCAAGCATTATTCAAATGAGCATTGGGCAAATCTCAAATTACCTTCTATTTCAGCCTGACTACTTGAGATTTCATCAAGTTTCGGCAATTGATCTCCTTCGAACCATTTAAAATCGTATCTGTTCTCCTCTTCTACCCATCCAAAATCCTTTGGAGATGATAGAGTTGGGGTACGAGAGTGTGCGTGAGTCCACAATTGAGCAATATAAGATGTTCGGAGGTTATGTTGACGCAACTCGGACTTGCACGGAGGTAGCAATGATCCTTCGAAATTTTTATCTAATTTCAGTAGGTGCCTAGCTCATCTTTATCGCTAAATTTGTAGGCTTTCATAAAAGTCGCTGTACGCGATACATTGATATCGTCCTATTCGATTGTATCCGTAAATACGACAAACATATTCTTCAGCAACCGAGAAATCTTCATCTTCTAAGGCAACGTCCGATAGGTTTGACAATTCAATCAATGCAACTATATACTTCGGGGAATTTCTCAGTATTTGCAAAGGTTTTTTCTTTCCTTTGCGATAAAACGCTGAATTAAAATCGCAGCCAGTCAGAGCGTGAAAAGCTGGAAGAGCTTTGCAGAGTTCTTCGCCTAGTTTATTATAAAGTTTGGTGATATTAACGTATCTTCGATTATTTCCCGTTCCGGCTAGAAATTTTATATTCAATTGTTTTTTCAAAGTAGGTACACATATTCCCAAGCAATATAATCAATATGTCTGTATCAGAACATCTCACTGTAACTCTAGAATCGAAATCAATTTTACAGATATGATAAATGATCTTAGTGTCTGCTTCCTCGTGCAATGGACTATAAAAGACACTGCTTTATTGTATGACTGATTTCTCATGAAAATGTTCGCTGTGTATACGACGCGCCGTGTAATCTACTCACCGCGCGTTGCACTTCAAACGCGCAGCTAACAGGTTAAGTCACACCTGTGCATCAGCTAACATTTATTTATACAGTTCTCATTCCATCAACTGTCACATAAATAAATTTCAGCTCCAGTAAAATAGTCCGAATTTTCCAATTTTCTATACATGAACATGCGCGCAGCTAACATGTCAAATCACAGGGATCTCGCAGCTAACATTTTTTTTCGTCATGAAAATCTTACCAATTATCTACCAGAAAATTTTCAACTACAGTAAACTCCTCCGAAAATCTCCTTTTTTTGCCAGATACATAGGCTCTCGAAATCATAAGTCACGGATCTTGAGCAGCTAACATGGAAATTTTTTTTCGTCAACATCACAAAGGCCTATACTGAAAAATTCAGCCTCAGTATAAAGGTCCGGTGAAATTTGACGCTACCTCCCGGACTATTCATGATTTATTGTAGAGATTGTATGCTAGACCTTACACTAAAAAATACTGTAACTCCATAATTTCCTATTATATACATTAAAAAATAAAATGTTTTACGTTTCTCACGTCTCTTATTTTAATCTCGAGCGAGCGAGCTATGGATAAGCCATAAGAAAAAAGCGCGAGGTAGCACCTACCCTCTACGGCCTATCGCCACGCCGGCGACGCATCGCGCGCCAAACTTCTCGCATACTTCAACTTCTAAATCTTCATATCTCGAATACGTTGCTGGTCCAATCGCTAAAGCGTCACGCTCGTAATTCGCATATCCGTGGTTCAAACCCTCGCAACGGCAAAAATCTTTTTTTCGTTCATTCATTACTGTGACGTCACGCCTGATCCATAACTTACAGGCCATAATCAGTTAATCAACACGTCACAAAAGGGCCGACAAACATGCTCCCATTGGTTCACACGTGACCAATTTCCACGCTCCCCATTGGCTTGACGGCATTTCCTGGTCCAGAACGTACTTTGATATACTACTGACAACAATTAACTTCGTAATTTCAACTTGATAATTTGATGCTTTTAATCTCCAATCTTCAATCTTTGATGGATCCTTCTCGTATGACCAACTTACAGGTACAACAAACAACAGGGGGCCTAGATTAGATCCTTGTGGAACTCCTGAACATGCTTTATAAGGATTCGACTTATAACCACTGTACGTTACGTCGTGTTCTGTCGGTTAAGTATGATTTTAATTAGTTCCATGAAGTGTCAACCGAAGAGTGACAATTTGTGCAATAGTATATTATGGTTTACGTGATCAAAGGCCTTACTAAAATCCATGTAAACGGTATCAACTTGACCTTGATTATCCAAAACCTTATGGCAGTATTGAGAAAAACATCTAAGATTTGATACTGTACAGCGATATAACAATAATAAAAAATCATACCAAGAGGAGCTGAAAATTGAGTTGATTCGTTTAGTCTCTGGTTTAAATATGTACACATTCCAAATAAAGTTTTCATACGCAAGATTGATCATCTTACAATCCATAAACATATTATTATTATTGTAGGATGGTCTTCGATTCAAAATAAATCAGCTACATATCTATTCCCATCTTCTACATACATTGTGCTAACTTCACTCTCTAAAAAAAGTCGTGTCTAGACTCTAGACTACCCACATTTCGATGGCGCGTAATTTAAATTTAACTATTACAATCGTCCATCCTGGCAGGAGATTGACCTCAATCTCTCTGCCAAATACAATTTTACCTTAAAACTACATATACAACATACTTAATCTAGGCCAGGCTAACCAAGGTCTCATATGTGAAGACTTAGTAATACCTTTGTATTATTTAGTAACGGGCATGTCGGGAATTGGCGTAGAAATTTGATGAGCTTTTCTTCTTTACTTCCTTTGTTGTATTCTCCGATTACGGATTTGATTAAAACAACGTTAATGGGTGTGAGTTTCACTTACCATTTTCATAATGTGTAATCCGAGATGATTAAAGGTACTGATTATCTTCTTATAAAAGTGTCATTCCACAGGTCATTCTTTTGATTTAACTAGGTAATTAAACTTCGGTTTCAAGAACTTCTTCGAAAATATCATCCTATTGTATAGAAATTCGGTTAATACAAGGTCAAAGTTCTAATTCATACTTACGATTGGGCGATTTCTTCTCACCGTCCTCAAATTCATTTTCTTTGGCTAATTGATAGTCAATCTATCTTTGTTGAAACACAGATCATTATAAACGTATGCATATGGAGAATTATGGGAAACACCAATATTGCCATTATTTCTAGTTATTTGTTACACACTAATAGCCCTACTATTACTGTCTCAAGTTTCTAGCTTGATACAAAATAAATCCACATGCATAAAATGACTATATTGCAATAAAAATAAAATAAATTCAAACTCCACTGTGCTTACAATTGATTTTTTTTATATTAAATACCTACTCAATTAGGATTTTTTTTGTGAGACAACAAATACATTAGGTAATACTATATAACATGTGTTCCTGTAGGTACCCACGAAAGAATAATAATGACAATTTACATTACATTGCCCATGGCCATCTGTGGTTATTGTATTGTAACGCTCCAGTTAAACAAAACATGTTTGCCGCACATCACACATGAAAACCGCAGGTTATTATTCATCTTGTTTCGTACGTAGAGTATTGGCTAATTTACACAAAAACAAACATCCACAAGTTGTTTTCAGACAATATGTACGCATTTATGACGTTTGCTATTTTATTAATCTTATAAAAAAAGAATGAAGTCGTTTCCTTCAATAATAGCTGCGTTGCAATGTTTTTGCTTTTCCGCTAATTACGCAAAAAGGGAACAAGATATTTCCATAATTTTTTCTACAATAGCTACAGCAAGAATTGGGTTATGTAATACCCGAAATGTATGAATTTTCGTGGAAAAATAA